GGGAAAGAGGTTTTTAAGCTCATGAACAGGCATGCAAGTTTTGCCACAGGGACACCGGCTCAGCAGTACGGGACGACTTACCCACACACAGGATGTTGAAGCAGAAGCCCTGCGACGTTGACTTGTTGACCAGCTGGTCGGGGAGGCTGTCAAAGCCCACGTGGCCCGAGAGGGACAGGTTCCTGAGGTCATCGCTCTGCCAAGGCAAGCAGAGAGACACGTCACTGCGAAGGCAGATGGCAGCTCACACCCGACACCCCTGTCAGGGAGCAGCACCGGGCCTGGCCCTGGGAGGCAGGAGGGCATTGCCCACAAAGCGGTGCTTTGCTCAGCCCACAGCAGGACACTGCTTACACTGCCTGACCTACGCCTCTCTGGCCGGCTAAACGCCTCCCTGGCCTCAAGTACACCAGTACTTCAGACTCCTGAGCTTTCCTCCTCCATGTGCTAGAAGGATATTCAGCACCACAGTGTGTTAGGAGGGCAAGGTGATGAAGGGATGCTACCCTCCTGACTCCTTTTGGGTAAAAAATAAACCCCCAAAGACCAGCACCCTCATTTACACAACAGGGCTTTTCCTGCAAAAACCACCAACAGGAGATCCTTGAATTTGTGCATGACATGAATGAGTTAAGCTCTTTGTAATACTAGTATTTTTCAAATATCAGCAGGCTTGGGCTTATGATTAACCAAAGGGAGCTCAGAGAACACCCCAGAAAGCGCGAGGTGCCCGTGACTCAAGCCCTGCAGAAAGCGGTGGGTGTTCAGCTTCCCTCAGCACTGCAGCAGCAACTCTTGCCCTGAGCTATTTTAGGTAAGCAAGTATTTGCCTCATCATCAGTTACTCAGCACGAACAGAAGTTGCAGTCATACCTTGTATCTATGCCAGTTATTTTTTGCTGCGCAGGTTTTTCATTTGTTTTTTTCTTTCCCTTGTTTGTTATTTTTTTTTTATTTTTCTGAAATTCTGGTTTCTCACTGGAAAGAATAAAAGCAGCATCCCTACAGTTTTCAGCGTCATATGCCTCAATGCCACAGCACAAGCTACGCCACAGAGCAGGAAGACTGCCTGGACCACCAAAGCCTTGGACAAGGCGGGACAAGAAGGATTAGAGTTTGCAAATACCACACAGGCAGCTCCAGTGCACACAGTCGTGACACAGGCTGCTCCTCCCTGGGCAGGAGAGCTGCAAGGGGAAGCTTCCACCCATAGCAATGCCCCCACAGCAGCTGAGGGGACCCCAACACTGCCCTGAACCCCCAAAGCCCATCCATAAGGACACAGCCCTTCCCAATGGACACTGCAGCCACGGATCAAGTACTGCCAGACAGAGCACCTGAGAGCACAACTCAATTTGTTTCTCTCCTCTCCTGCAACAGAGGCTGAGCTAATAAACCTGGAAGTGGCCACAGCAGGCACCTGCAGCAAGGACCAAAACACCATTCCCAACTCGGAATAGCTTGTGGGCTCAGGTTTTAGCAGCATGGAAAGGAAACCTCTGCAGGAGAGCACCAACTGCAACTGCTTGGTGTATAATTAGCAGAAGGGGAAAGTGATTCATGCACACAGCCTGGCAAGACAGAAATGTTAGGAAAACAACAGGAGGCTAGGTCAGGCAGCCACCCTGCTCCGGCTATTAAGTGCTGCAACAAGCCAAGAGCTCGCAGGTTGGTTTTTGGTCTCAGGAGAGCCCATAGGAACTGGGTGCTGGTCAAAAGTTGACAAACGGCAACAGCTCCTGCCCTCGTGTGTGCCCAGCAAGGCAGGGAGCCACACGGGCGTCATGCCAGCAACACCGCAGCACCGACTCGCTCCTCCAGCCAGGGTGCTGCTGCTGGAGCAGCAGGCTGTGCTGCTTAGGTGCTTCATCTGCTGTGGATCCCTCAACACCCCTCGGGACTGGAAGAGCTCAGCAGCTGTCACTGCCAGCCCTAGGGAGGCCTTGTTTATACTCAGATGGTTCACCACGTACAGAAGCAGCAACCTCAGACTCACAACGGAGAAGTTTGTTCACAGACAGTCTCCAACAACAAGAATTTAAACACATCTTAAGAGTGGTCTTTAAGCTTTCTTTGCAGGCTTAAGCAGCATCATTTCAGGATGAACAAGATGAACCTCTCCTTCCTCCCCAGGCACCGTTTACATGAGGGGAAAGTGACTGCAGGCTGAGTGCTAACCCTCCGACAGCTGCAAAGTAACACAGATAAGTACACGTGTTTATTTGGACAAGATGTTGACCACTGAATTTCTCTGGAAAACAACCAACAGCCCATCCAGGAAGGGGCAAGGAAAGCCCTGAGAAGCCTCGAGATCCAGAGGCACAACTAGGAGCAACGATCTGCCATGGACCATTGCCAGCAACAGAGATTGCCAGGATTTCCATTTTCCAAACTCTTAAGAGAGAGCTTGGAGTTTGCAAGCACTTTCAAGCCTGCTTAAGATCAGTCTTTCTTCATATGCAGCTCCTTAAGGTAAAGGTTTTACAGGCCAAGCAGTGCTGTAACAGACGCCCAGCTGCCAGCAGCTGGTTTGCCTGGATGCAGTTCAGGGCAGCTTTACAAAACTGTTGGGCTGACAAGGCACACGCAGGGAGAGAATCGCCGTGTTCCTCCTACACCACAGCCGCCTGGTAGAGCTAGCGGGAAGAGAGGGAAGCATCAATTTATTTTCCCCTGCCGGAGTCAGCAACAATGTGGCTGCATGCACATCAGGATATAGAAATAATGGTATTTAGAAAAGCAGCATAAAGCAGAGCCTCATCCTCACAGGTCCCAAGGTAGCTCAACTCCTCTCCTAGCTCCCAGGAGGCCAGAGAGGCTCTGTGGAGGCATCTGCATTTATCGTCCTGCCCTGTGCTCTCCTTGCCCAGGACCACAACAGCAGCTAGTCCCTCAGCCCAAGCAAGATCCCACTGAGCCCATCCAGCTTTGAGACCACCAGCCAAGTCACCCCCACACGCCGCTCTGTTCCCCTGCTCCCGGCGGCGGGGGGTCAGCTTCACACGGCCTCACAAGAGTTAAAGAAAACAGAAACGAGACGCACAGTTAGGAGGGAAAAAAGCCGGTATGCAAAATATTGAGCTAAACCACAAATATGAAGCAAATGTTTAGTTATTTGAGGCCACACGATTTCAGACCAACCTTGAGGAAATTCTGAAAGCTTTTATTGTTGTCAGCATCGAGGCCAGCTACGCTTTCGCTCACTTACTAGGCACACATTGCCCTCTTACCGGGGAAATCTTAGATGCTGGACCCAAATTAAAGAACCTCAGGGTTACTTCAGTCTGTCCACAGACAGCATAATGGTCCAGTGATGGCAATGAGCATGGAGATGAAGAGCAGCAAAGCAAGAACTGGATCTGTCCTACCTTTTCCCTGCATTAACCCTGAAAGCCAGGGCCCCTGTCAATGGGGTACAAAAAGCCAAGTCCTAAACCAAAACTGAGAGCTCCATTTGCTTGAACTGGTGCCCACAAACCACCTCACTTTGCTCAAAAAGATTTACATAAATGAAGGTCAAATCCTTAATTCTTGGGTAACAGAACTTAGGTATAATAATGTGGGGCAAAACTTCTAACTAAGAAAGAATAAGTCCTCTCCCTTCAGTAGCGCCCTCACCCCCACACAAGACAGCCCACAGCAATCTATCAGTTAACAGAGAAAGGAAGAACTGCTTTTTGTCAGGATAATCATCAGTGACACCGCAGAGGAGGGGGAGTTCCTGTCTCCATACTTCAGCTGCAGACTTGGGCAGATGTCTCTGCGAGCTACTCGATGCCTGGGAGGTCTTCTCCGCAATGGTGAGAGCAGACCCTTTGCAAGAAGCTCATCATCATGCTGCAGACTCCTGGGTAAGCCCTGAACACTCACTGCACAGCTAGGCGGGCTGGATGGCCAAGCAGTCCACGGAGTGAGCCGTGACTCATCTCACTGACAACCACTGACCCACCTTGCTCTTCCTGGATGAAAGCAACTGCAGCTCCTTTAGAGAGAGAGGCTCATTTTGGGCAGTCCCCCTGCCCTAGCCCTCCAGCAATGTCTGCAGCAGGAGCAAAGAGCCAAGTCTCCCCTCTCTGAGCAAGCAAGCAACACTGGCTAAGTGTTATGCCAGTGCTTGCTCCACTCTCAGTAACCGCAGAGGTCCCGGGGACCTCAAAGAGGCTCGAAATACACTGGCTTCTCCTTCCTAATCCTGAAACATGGAGACTGGAAAAAAAGAGGGGAAAAAAAAAGTTAGCTTGTAGGAGGAAGGCAGGAAGCGATTTGGCTGCCAGTGTCCCAGCAGCGGCCAGGGAGGGAGGTGTGGGGCTCCTGCTGCCCCCACTCCTATGGGAGCAGCTGTCTGAGGAGGGCGCAGGCCAAGGGAGGTTGCAGCAAGGCCAACCCCAGGGATGCTCGGGGCAGTGTGGGAGATGCCCTCAAGGCTGGGTAAGCCTGGACTCGCTTCGGTTAGCGAAACAGCCAAACTGATGGGGAAACGAAGAGGGAAGCCACCAAAATCTGACCGTTCCAAGGGGCTGCAGGGAGGGTGAAGAAGCAGTTGTGTTCCAGGCAAAGTGCTTGGCTAAAGGTCAGCACAAGCTCAGGGCAGTAACAGCTCCCCTTTGCCAAGGGTTGACATGAAAGACTTTTTCCTCTGGAGGTTTCCTAAAACCACCAACCTTTCTATTTGGAGTCAAAGTGACTAATGCTTCTAACAGCCCCTGATGTCACAAATTGCTAACCAGCAAAAAAGCCAGCCTGGGGGGATGATAAGGACCATATGTGCATTCCAGCCAGGCTTGTAAACTCGCCAAAGGGAGGAGGGGAAAAGAGGGAGAGAGGAAGGGAGGGAAAGGGGAAGGGGGGAAGAGACAGCGCGACAAACAAGAACCAAGACCATGCAAAGAGCCCAATGAGAACCAGATGCTCTTGGCTCCAGCCAGCCACTCTCTCCACTGTCAGCAGACCTTTCTGAACCCTTGTGTGAAGCTGACGAAACAAAACCCAGAGTCACTAGTGCTCAGTGCCAGGCTCCCCGGGTTACAGCTTCCCGCTGCTCACGTCCCACAACTGCCTGCTGTCTGTTACCTCTTTTTGTCTTCTGAGATGCCGCATGATGGGGAAAGGTAAATACATCTCCTCCAGCATCCCCCTTCTGCCCTGCAGCAGCGAGCAAAGCTGACAGCAGCACAGTTCACACTGGCTGGAGAAGAGC